TGGCCCAGGCTGCCCAGGGAGGCTGTGGAGTCTCCTTCTCTGGAGATATTCCAGCCCCGCCTGGCCGCGGTGCTGTGCCCCCTGCTCTAGGTGACCCTGCTTGGGCAGGGGGTTGGGCTGGGTGACCACAGAGGTCCATGCCCACCCCGCTATGCTGTGAGGCTGTGACTGGAGGCGAAGGTGTCACAAGCAAACGGGACGTGTGGCAGGAGCTGACTGTCTCTTTTTTATCCCCGGCAGGTCGCAAGGCAGGGAAAGGCTTTTATCTTTACCAGGAGGGGGTGAAGAACAGGAGTGTGAATTCTGGCATGGATGAGATCTTGGCACGGTTCAAAGTGCCAGCCAAACCCGAAGTGTAAGTAGCTTCTCCTGCCTTTCAGCAGTGGCATGAGGGCTGCACCAGGGGCAGCACTGGAGGATGTCATGGTAGCACTGGAGGGGTAATGGTTTTAAACTAAAACAGGGTGGGTTTAGGCTGGATATAAGGAAGAAATTCTTTACAATGAGGGTGGTGAAACACTGGAACGGGTTGCCCGGAGAGGTAGTGGAGGCCCCATCCCTGGAAACATTCCAGGCCAGGTTGGACAGGGCTCTGAGCAACCTGATCTGGTTGAAGATGTCCCTGCTCGCTGCAGGGGGGTTGGACTAGATGACCTTTAAAGGTCCCTTCTGACCCAAAACTTTCTATGATTCTATGATGTTGCTGAACACGGAGTCGCTCCAAACGGCGTTTGGCTGTTCCCAGCTGGTGTGCAGGGGGACAGGCTGTTGGCTCTGGAGAGCCTGTGCTGGCAGGAATGGGCCATCCTCGAATTTATCAGCGCTTGCTTGGGCACCTTTGCCAAAAGCTTTCCTGTGGTGGGCCTTGTCGGGGTGGGCGAGTTGGTGCAGCCCCTGCCGTGACCTTCCTGGCGCTGGACCTGTCGTACAGCCTGGCATGGAAACATCTCCTGGAGCAGCTCCTGCCTGGCCTGATGGAGCCTTTCCCATTCCTACATGCTTCCCTCGGGTCACAACACAGAACTTCATCCTTATCCTCATGCAGAGAAGGACATTGCCAGTGGGAAACCATTCTGTCCCCAGCCCTGGTTGTCCCCCGTCTGTCCTGGCTTCGTGTGCTCCTCCACACAGCTGCTGTGTTACCTGCACAGCCCTGACAGACTCTTTCCTTGCAGCTGCACTGATGAGGACATCCAGATGCGCTTGGTGACGAGGTTTGTGAACGAGGCAGCCATGTGCCTGCAGGAAGGGATCCTCAGCAACCCCGTGGAGGGAGATATTGGTGCTGTGTTCGGCTTGGGCTTCCCACCGTGCCTGGGAGGTAAGAGGGTTCAGCCGGGCTT